GATTTGATTCCTCGTGAGATGGTTCCTTAGAAAGTGTGCATGGTGGATTTGGATTTTTCTTCATCTGTAATTTTTTTTCAATCTATTGTATCCATATCAAAATATTATACTATATTCAATGAAATTAATGATCTCAATAAAGTGTACATATGAAATAAAAAAATTTCGACAAGTTGACGCAATTAAAAAGAAACAATATTAAAAAAATAATTAATACATAGTTATCCTATATTTAAAATTAAATAAGATTTTTAAACTTTAACCTATAATTAAGATCAAAGGAAATAAACACATTGCAAGTATTATTTGAACATGTATATGTTATCTCTACTTGTAAATCGTATTTTCCCCCTTTAATGCTACTCTACATTTTACATTTTAATAAATAATACCAAATTAATACACATGCATGGCATAATCAATAATTCAAATGGGAGCCGATAATTTGAGCCACTTTGAGTATAGTCAAAAAATTTTAAAGTCAGACTGAAGAAAATAACAATTTTTACAACTGATTTCAAATAGACCTGATCCAAATATCTAAATATTTTTTTTAAAAAAATATACATAATACATATTAAATATTTATTAATATCTTAAAAATTAGTTCATTCTATATTGACAAGAGATCATATGTATATTTTGGTTCATGAATATAGATATTTCTTAAACAAATTAAAAAGATCCATATTGTTATGTTCATTTTAATCTTGATCTTTAAGTCTGAAGACTTACATTTTTTATTAAAAAAATGAAGTCTTCTATATTTCTTAAATATTCTGAAAATTATATTATATATATTTTTATAACAACAACAATAATTAATTTCAAGATAAAAATTAAAGTTGACTTAAAAAGAGGATTAAAATTTTTAACTATTTAAATATTTGAGCTAACAAATAAATTTGAAATTTGAATTGCTAAGATTAAGTTGGACTATATGAATTTATCTGCATGTTCAAATAAATTTGATTCACTTGAATAACTAGCTATAATTCAAACCGTCTCCCATAGGTTTATTTCTTCGTTTTGCAGCATTAAGGGTGACCTCTTATTAAGATTTTTCACAACAATAACAACAACAACAACAAGCCTTTATCCCACTAGGTGGGGTCGGCTACATGGATTGCAAGACGCCATTGTGCTCTATCATTTATTAAGCTTTTAGAAATATTATTAATTAAGAGATCACGTTCAACAACTTCCAAGAGTGTTCTCTTAGGCCTTCCTCTACCTCTCTTAATCGGACTCAAAGTTATATGTTCCACTCTTCTCACTGGTGCCTCCCTTGGTCTTCTTTGTACATGCCCAAACCATCTCAACCGATTTTCTACCATTTTTTCCTCAATAGGTGCCACCCTCACTTTTTCACGTATGTGCTCATTTCGAATTTTATCTTTACGTGTATGTCCGCACATCCATCGTAACATTCTCATCTCTGCTACTCCAACTTTATGCTCTTGCTGTCCCGTTAGAGCCCAGCATTCACTACTATATAACATTGCCGGTCTGATAGCAGTACGATAAAACTTTCCTTTAAGTTTATTAGGCACCCTACGGTCACAAATAACTCCTTTAGCTTTTCTCCAATTAAACCACCCAGCTTGAATTCTATGTGAAATATCTCCACTGATTTCGCCATCATTTTGAATAATGGCTCCCAAATATCTAAACTTTTCCACTTGAGGTATAATTTGATCTCCCAATTTCACTTCGAAATTATTTTCGAATAGTCCTTTACCAAATTTACAATATAAATATTCCGTCTTACTTCTACTCAGACGAAAACCTTTCGACTCCAATGTCCTCCTCCATAACTCAAGTTTGCAATTAACCTCTTCTCTTGTCTCTGCTATAAGAACTATATCATCCGCAAAGAGCATACATTTCGGGATTTCCTCTTGAATATGTTCCGTCAAAACATTTAAAATCAAGTTGAACAAATAAGGACTCAGAGATGATCCCTGATGTAGTCCAATCTTTATAGGAAAATCCTTTGTTTGACCACTAGGCGTTCTTATACTAGTTTTTACCCCCTCATACATATCTTGTATGGCTTTAATATAAGCAATCCGTACTCCCTTTTTTTCCAACGCTTTCCAAAGCACTTCTCTTGGTATACGGTCATAAGCTTTTTCCAAATCAATAAAAACCATGTGTAGATCTTTATCTTTACAACGATACTTTTCCATTAATCCCCTTAGTAGATAAATCGCCTCTGTAGTTGATCTACCTGGCATAAAACCAAATTGATTCTCAGAAATACTTGTCTCCAATCTCAACCTGTGCTCAATTACTTTCTCCCACAATTTCATTGTGTGGCTCATGAGTTTAATCCCTCTATAGTTAGTACAATTCTGAATATCTCCTTTATTTTTATAAATAGGAATTAATGTACTTCTCCTCCACTCATCAGGCATTTTCTTGGACCGTAAAATCACATTAAATAACTTAGTTAACCATCTCACCCCTTCTTCACCTAAACATTTCCACGCTTCGATAGATATACAATCAGGTCCGTTAGCTCTACCATTTGCCATTTTCTTAAGAGCTTCCTTTACCTCCTTATCACGTATTTTTCGATAGAATGACAAATTTTGTTCTCCTTCACCAGTTACTAAATCCTCCAAGTTACTAGATGAATCCTCTCCATCATTGAAAAGTTTAGAAAAATAAGTCTCCCATCTATTTTTAATTTCATCATCTGTAACTAAAATTCTTCCCTCTTCATCCTTAATACACCTTACCTGTTCTAGATCTCTTGATTTTCTTTCCCTACTCTTGGCAATCTTATAAATATTTTGCTCTCCTTCCTTCGTCTCAAGGTTCTTATAAAATTCTTCAAAAGCTTTGGAACGAGCTTCACCCACAGCTCTCTTAGTTTCCTTCTTAGCCATACGGTACCTCTCCCAATTTTCCTCATTGTTACACAAATGTATGGCTTTAAAACAGTTCTTCTTATACTTGATTTTGTCCTGTACACTATTATTCCACCACCAAGACTCCTTATCTCTCGGACCAGAACCTTTCGATTCTCCCAAAACTACTTTTGCAACCTCCCGTATCTTTTTAGCCATATCCTCCCATATGATGTTAGCACTTCCCTGAGAATCCCAAATTCCTTTATCCAAAAGATTTTGCTTGAAAATATCTTGCTTCTCACCTTTTAATTGCCACCACCTAATCCTTGGTGTTACTACTTGTCGACGTTTTTGGATTTTACTCATAATACACACATCAAGGACTAGGACCCTGTGTTGTGTCGTTACAGCATCTCCAGGGATCACCTTACAATTTTTACAAAGTTTTCTATCTGTGTTCCTAACCAAAAGAAAATCAATCTGCGACCTTGAGGCTCCACTTTTGTAAGTGATGAGATGCTCATCTCTCTTCTTGAAACAAGTGTTGGCAATTTTAAAATCATATGCCAATGAGAAATCAAGAAGAGTTTGCCCTTCATTGTTTAGCTCTCCAAAACCAAAACCACCATGCACCCTCGCATACTGACCAGCTTCCCTCCCGACATGCGCATTAAAGTCTCCTCCAATAAAAATCTTTTCACTCTGTGGTATGTGTCGAATCAACCCCTCCAGATCCTCCCAAAATAATTCCTTAAGACTGGCTTCTGTCCCGACTTGCGGCGCATAAGCGCTAACAATATTAACAGTCTCACGTCCAATTATCATTTTTAAAGAAATAATTCTGTCTCCAATTCTGCTAACTTCTACAACGTTCTTCTTCCACTCCTTATCTATAATGATGCCTACTCCATTGCGTGCACTTACTTTTCCTGTATACCAAAGTTTGAAACCTTGAATATCCTTAGCTCTTTCTCCACGCCATTTTGTTTCTTGCAAGCAAAGGATATTGATTTTCCTTTGAATCATAACCCCTACAACCTCTACAGATTTACAATTTAATGTCCCAACATTCCAAGTACCAACATTCCAAGATTTTTCACACAAGAAAGAAAAAAGTGGCCAACAACCGCAACACTTTAATGCTGCATCATCATATGATGAATAAAATGATGCATGGATCAAGGGGAAGATTTTGCCCAAAAGGGGGAAGATTTCATTTTCCTGAAGCTGAGATCAAGTATTTGAACTTTATCAATTAAAACATACTCTTCCCCTTAAAAATAAATTTTTTAAGTAAGATGCTAAACAATACAAGGCATATTGGGCCTTTTAAAATACAATTAACAAAATTTTTCAATAATATCTTTAATGAGTGTAATTAATAAAATTTTATAATTTAAACAACTATTAAATAAATAAGAATGAACGTTAAAAAATGTGTAATTTAAAAAAAATTAACTAACTTATTAATAAAATTCAAGTTAAAAATATTTATAATATGGAAAAGAGAGAGTATCATGTTAGAAAAACCACCCTTACTGAAGACAAATTATACTTGGATATAAATCCATAATGTTTCCTTTATTTAAAAATATAAAATATTTTTAACCGAATCTCACATTAATAAAGTAGTTATTTATTTTTAAACTAATCCTATCTTTTTATATTTATTCCTATTAAATACCCTACAATAAATATAAAGTTATTAATTAATAGGAACACTTAAAAAACAATGATTATATTTTAAAAGAATAAAAATACCTTATATTTTTAAAGATCCAACTCATTAAAAAATGCAATCCAACTCATTAAAAAATGCATCATAAAGGAGGGAGTACTAAATATCAAATATCAAATAATCATGTTAAAAAATCCAACACTAATCCTATGGAATTACTGGCCAAAAGAATAAATTCCTATGCAATTGACAAAGTAGCTCAGTAAAATATTGGATATAGGTGATATTATCGGCCATTGGTTGTGTTGTGGCGTCTTTTTAAGGATCCATATCCTCAAAAGAGACATGTGCCACTTGGCCGCAAAAAACCAAAAACAAAACAAAGACATGCCGGAGTGAAATCTAGGCTTAGGCCTCGCACAGTGTAAAGGAAAGAAGAAGAAGAAGAAAATAAACACAACTCACAAGGAAAAGTATATCCCTTAGTTGATGTAAAAGACCATAAACATAGAAACCAAAAATAAAAAAGCCTCCACCACTTCAGGATCATAAAAGACTACAGAAGGCTATAAGATTGAAAAGGGTCAGATGACTCGTGGTAACACCAAAAACCTCACAATATGTACACACTCTATATAAATATAATATACTGTACAAGGCAACTCGCTCTTCTTTCTTATATGCACGCTTGGAGCCTCACTCCTGTCTCTCACCAAAAGCAAGAAGAAACCTCTTCTTCAGGCAACAATGGAGTCCTACAAAGAGGGCATGTAATGTTCCAGTACGCCAACCACTTCTCCAAGCAATCTTTGTGGAAGAGATGGCCGCAAGACAACCGGTTTATCTCAGACTCTGGTTCAAACTCAGTCAGACATACAGAGCAGTCATGTTCTTCCGGTTGTTTGCAGCCACACACACTGCCAAACTTGATTGTTGGTGTCCGCCTTGTGAACTCGTCGATGTAATTCTCCGGCGAACAGAGGTTGGATTGGAATGACTCTGGCAGGTCTTGAGAGATATCTGGAGAAGGGGATGATTCTGATGATGATTGTGATGGTGGAGTGGTGGGGGATGACGAAAGACTGATACCAACAATGTGAAGGATTGTTCTAACAATGCCTTTAACTAAGGATATGGAAAATGCAGTGTTCACCAGAAGCACACACAGTACTCCTTCAGATGGAGCTGGCAGACTTGAGAGGCCCATTCTGATCAGAGAGATAAGAAACTTCTGATATAAATGCGATCCAACAGGAGAAACTTGGAACTTAGCAGATTCAGCAAAAGATTATCTGAGCCAAGCAGAATCAGCAAACATGGAAATGTATGGAGACTTGAGTATATGACTCTCTCTGTCTGTGTGACCTGAAAACACATTAGAAGGAAGATTAGTCAAAACTCTGACAAATCATACCAAAACTAAAATGGAAAGATATCAGAAGTGGAATAATCAAATCAAGCATTAAAATAACACACAGAATAGGGAATACTGACTAAATAGCTAAGGTATCTGACTGTACAAAGTTATTTGCATAGACCATGATGAAAAGGACGTGAAAGTCTTCAAAGAAACCCAGAACTTGGATGATCAGTGGGAACGTACTCTCACCCAAATAAAATAATAATATTTATATCCATGTGCAAAATATGAAAGCTTCTTCTCGCCAGGAAAAGAATAGCTATTCAAAATCCAAATTAGATTAGAGGAACAAGTATGAGAATCCCAGAAAACGAAAACAAGAACAAGCAAGTTCATAATTACAAGAAAAAGAAATCCAAAAGAAATAAAGCCATAAATGAATCACTAATCATCCCAAGACCCAAGTAATATCTAATTTTACACCCGAGGTCCGAGATTGTAAGTCGAGGAACAGAAATCAAATGATAATAACTGGCTTGGCTTCTTCGTCAACGAGATCTAACACAGAACAAAAGGTTTATCACGCACAAGAAGAACGAGAAATTAATCACCAATCATTAATTAAATCAAATCCAGAAAATAGTATAAAAACTAAGTAATGGCACACTCCACAAAACATAAATCCAACTTTGACACCAGAAGTCGAAGAAGAGATCTAGCATTTCAAAGAACAATTTTTTGCTGATGGAAACGCAGCTTTTTCAGACACCATCGAGGAAAAAGAATACATTCTGAGACTTACACAGAGCAAGATTTGAGGATTTCGATTCTGGGAAAGCAGGAAGAGAAGCTAAGGATCGGATTAGGCTTGCTCGATGAAGCAACTTATAATGGGGTTGACAGATAGGTGATATTGATGATGATGAGCATTCGGGTGGCTTTACTGAAGAACCCCACACTGGGAGCGAGGGATTGATATAACCGCTGGCTTTAACCCAAGAGGTTTAACCATGGTTAGAACTTACTGCTTTTCCGAGAGTGGTAATCATTAACCATGGTTACGACGTCATCGGCCTGTAACTCGCTTCTTCTGAGGCTAGTTCCTAAGAGAAGTGATCTTTTTTTTAGGGGGGCAAAAATGAAAATACACGCTAATTTCAAAGATTATTATATATATATATATATATATATTTGGCCAGTAAAAGATTTTTATATTTATGTTCTGATATTTATGCATTTGTTATGAATTAGTATGGATATTTTGCATGAACCGTTTATAAAATTTGAACCCATTTCGAGATTTTGGACATCCGATACTACTTCCGAAATATTGTGAAATAGAGATGAAATCTTCACCAATTAAATTGAGAAAAATTTAAACTTTTTTCCTTGGAACTTTTTATCAATTATCAATTTTATCTTTAAACTTTAATTCCAAACAATTTAATCTATATAGTTTCTTAACCTATAATAGCTGAGTTTTTATAGTTTTCGATTCAATACAACCCATTTGCTATAATTTTTTTATTCAATAAACTACTACAAAAGCTAAATTGTACTCAGTCAAAATTTATGAAATAAATTGACAGTTAAAATAAAATTCAGGATCTTCATATTATTTTGAAATTTTTCAAGCCTTACTGATTATACAATTTGTACAAAATTTTGTAAATATAGATTTTGGCATTTTCCTTTTTCAAAAAAATATTGAGTCAGTATTAATTATTTCTTTCAATTCAAAAAATATAATACTTTTAACTATTTCATAAAAATTAATAAAATAAATTTTATCAAAAAAATTAAGAAAATAAATTAAAAGTAATTTGTATCATTTAATGGTCAAATATTATCACACAATATTGCTCGCCATTTAAAATCAATCAATCTTAATTACTCTTTATTTTTTTATAATCTCTCACTTCAATAGAATTAAGAGCATTTTTGAAAAAAAGAATTTCATGTTATTGATTTTTTCTACATTTTAAACTAGCATTGACTGTTGGTAAAAAAAAAAAACTACCATTGACTAATAAATGTCACATAGTTTTAATGAAGTATTATTTTATTTGATAGGGAGGTAGAAAAAGGCTACACAATTATATGAACGGAACAATAACTAATTCATTCAACGGGACGATGGGGTTCCTCAGTTAATTTTATGAACCATAGTTATTTATGACATTTAATTAGTTAAAAAAAATTGGAAAGCACAGACTTATTTATCCATGAATTTTTTTTAAATTTTTAACACTATTTTTGAAAATACCTAGACATAAGAAATCGGAAAATTATATTTTCAATTCGAATAAAAAATATATTCTTCGAAATTTGTGAATCGTGCAATGAACTTATTATTGATTTGAAATTGTTACTACAGTTTGAAGTAAATTATATGTTGTAGTTGACGTTGATGGTTAAAATAATAACAATAATAAATTATGTTGTACTCGATTAAATTATATACATACATATATTCACGTTCAAAAAATTGAGACGAGTATAATAGAAAAGGAAATGGAATAAAAATATAATTTATATAGAATAATCTTTATACAAGTACTATTAAAAATATTGAATAAAAATTATAATATATGATTCAACCAAAAAAAAAATTATACTACTAGCATACAAACGGGATTTAGAACGAGACAATGAAGACAAGGCATAAAGTAATATCAAATTTATATATATATATATATATATATATAATCAGTTTTTGGCATAAAAAACATGTTTGTAAAAAAATTGTCATTTTTCAGAACCTTTTATTGAGCCACTAAAGAGATGCAATGTAAGCATTGAAAGCGGCAGACAATGTAAATTGTGGCGCAAATTGAACTGATCTTTGTATCTGAAAGCTTGTCTGGAAAGAAAATTATAAATTAATATGCATAGTGTATATAAGAGAAGAAATTTATTCCCGAATTAACATATTAAGTATTTTTTTTCTCATACTAAATTTGAACGAACTAACTGTTGATAAATAGACCGTCGCTAAACAATTTTTTAACAAACTGAAGTGTGGTTTTGACGGCTAGAAATTGCCTGAAATTTAATTTTTGTGTTTTCATGAAATGACATTAATATTTTTTTCAGTTTTAAAGCAGTATATATTTATATTAATTGTATTAATTTTTAAGAACTTTCCTTTTGAATATTTAATTATTTTTTAAAAAACATGTAACTTGAGAAATAAATACTGATAACAAATATAAGAATGACCCTCTTTTCTTTTCCTTTCTTTTCTTTTTTTGTTCTTTTTTTTCTTTACCAACAAAATGACCATTTTTTCTTAAGAAAAAGGCTCTTTAACAAAATATTTTATATTTGAGGAGGAAAAAAAAAAGAGAGATACCTTGTTGTCATCATCTGAATGTGTAATGACAGGTGTCCTGTTTTCTTGTGTAACACTTGGACGACATGTCACGATGCGCCTAGGAAAAACAAGCTGCTTCAGAAGGGACAATGAGATATAAAATGATGAATATTCCCTTTAATTTTTTTTTTTTATAAAATTGTTTGAAGAGGTTAGATTTGAACATTGTAGAAATGGAGATATTTCTCCAACTGGCATTTCTTGAATTTACACGGATTTAAATTTAAGATCTCTTACTTAAATGGTCTCATTCCACTAATATTTCCTTTTAATTCTGATTACAAGGCTTTCCTCCAAAAAAAAAAAATTCCCCCACAGTGCAAGAAGAGATGTAATATTTTTCTGTAGTTTCATATTTTTATTCCTGGTCTTAGTAACAAGTCTTCTTGAAAATTGAAAAGCAAAGTGCACGTAGGAACCTTTTGATGGGGATGAAATCAGAATTTTCTCATTTTTCTTGTCAAATTTAAAAATTAATAGTATTTTTGAAATGTGTAAAAAATTGAAAAGATCTGAAGAGGAGTGCATATTTACTGGACTAAAAACGTAAATTTGTATTGGATGAATGAAATTAAACCAGGGAATAATGTTGACCAAAAAAAAAAAGGAAAGAATGACCCTTAGGCTCCACACAACATTATAAATTCATGACATAGTTGTCAATTTAATATACTCAAGTTGTGAATAAATCTAATGTTACGTTTACATGATCAGGAATTTGGATTTAAATTTAAACCAGATTCTCATTTAGATATATAAAAGTCTACCTATATTTTGTTATAATTTTTTATAGTTTTAAATTTCCATTAGATTTTAGTTATATAAATTTTCATGTGTTCCAGCCCTTTTGTTTCCTTTCCGTTTTAACTATCGGTGTTTTTGTTATTCTTGCTTCTCCTTTCATTTCCCAGGGATTGAAGAATAAAAGTAAAATCATTACTTTGAATTTTTTATTTTTATTTTAAATTTTAGCTCGTCTCTTTTTTATTTTAAAATGACAAAAAATTTTAAATATAAAATATAAAATTTAAAATTTAAAATCAAATCAATAAAGTAGTGTTTGGGTTGAAGAATTTGAATTTAAATTTGGCAAAATCTCATATTTAAAATTTATTTTTTTAAAATTTTTTTATCTGGATAACTTTAAAAAATTTAAATGAAAAAGAAAGATAAGCTAAGATTTTAAAAAAATAAAAAATTAAAAGTGACAAATTTATCTTTATTATTCAACTAATGAGACAAGAATAAGTGATAAAAAGAGTTGTAACTTGCAAAAATAAAAGAATCATTGAAAGTGAAACAATAAAGAAAAATAAGAGGGTTAAAATATGTAAACTTTTAAATATTAAAAAATTTATAATAAAAATATGAATTTTGATAAAAAAAAATTTGAATAAAAAATTTGGTTGAAATTTAATTTAATTGAATTTAAAATCTCGTGCATATAAACGCAGGATAATATTAAGCGACACCTAACATGTGAAGAGGCATGATGGGAGAGCGCAAGGATGTGGGGGCAGAACATGAGGAGAGTCTGACAAGTGCAGAAGAAGTGAATGAATGGTTTGATTGGGGTCCCCATATGCATATAATGAAGAGATGCGTGGACACGTGTCGCTCACATAACCAAACCCCTCTTCCTATTCCATCTTAACTCCTGACACCTGTTCCCCTCCACCTCACTCCTTTCATCATCTATCACGTACCCTTTCCCCCTCAACCTCTCTCTCCTCACCCTATCCTAATCCTTATCTTTTTTCTTGAAGAAAAAATATTAATAATAAATTAATTATGCATAAATTGGATGTGCTTTTTGGTTCACAATGCAAAGTTCTATGGTTTTCTTAAGGCAAAATAGCCTTGAAGGACTATTGACATAAATTAATATCAATCAATCAATTTAAAAATTATATTACAATTTCTTGATTCTTTATTGATATTAATTTATTATATTAAAACATAAGATTGATCCTAAAATGTTTAAAAAAAAAATACTACCTTCTATTGTCGCCAATTGCCAAACCATTATCACTGGACCTTTTATTGCGAGCGAGGTCATCGGAGCCCCTCTCGCTAGAGGCTGACCGCCAGAGCACAAGCGATATTTTTTTAAGGAATATTTGGTTTTGGTAGCCAATAAAAAATTTGATTGCATAACCTTTAGCTATTTAAAGCTAATAGAATGTGCTTAATTATACTCCATCCATTTAAAAATATAAGATATTTTTTGAATAATTGGATGTTAAAAAATGTAAGGCATTTTTAATCTTTCAAGGTATAATTATTGCCTTTTTTTAAAAGTACTCCTATTGATAATAACTTTATATTTATTATAGGGTATTTAATAAGAATAAATATGAAAAGATAGGGTTAGTTAGAAAGCGAATAACTAGTTTATTTGGGGTGAGATTCGATTAAAAATGCCTTACATTTTTAAATGAAGGGAGTATGTATTAGTCATTTATTAATAAATATTCATTTGAATTTTGACAATAATCTATTTGTAATTAACCGCAATACATTTAGATATTTAATAAGTAAAATATATAAAATTTTAAAGCTTTCAATTTGTAATTGTCCATGTCAGATTAAGAAATAATATTTGTAAAATAACAAATTTTATTCAAAAATTAACAACACACCATTATGTTACGACATAAAAATAGTTAGAAGCTTGATTTACTATTTTTTTGTTATATATAATTAAAGAGTTTGGTGGCTAAAGATCATGGGATCAAACCCTCTTTTGGCCACCTAAATCAAACATTCCTTGAAAAAAATATCATCAATGTCGGAGCTCTTGTAGCCGGTTGCCAACGACAGGGGCTCTGGCCACCTTGCTATTAGCAAGGGATGTGGCAACAATCCAATGGCTAACAATAGCGGGGTAGCTTTAAAAAAAAAAAACTTTAGAGGTAATTTTATCTTTTGACATAATAAATTAATATCAATCAAGGATTAAAAGACTGTAGTTCACAGTGTAATTTTTAAATTAATTAATTCTTAACTAATATTAATTTCTCTCAATGATCCTTTAGTGCTATTTTTTCTTTTTTTTAAATTACCAAGTGGGGCAAAGTCCATAAACTAAACTAGTTAAACAGTAACAAGAGTTTGACACGATAATTTTTATAGTTTTAACAATGACTAACATATACTTAAATTCTATTAAAAAACAAGCAGAAGGTAAATGGAAGGAGATTAAATCCTGGGGCATTGTTAAGTCCTTATGTACACATCATCAAAATAATTAACAAAATTTATATATATATATATATATATATATTAGTTACTGTTAAGTTTTTATAAGTATATTTAAAACTATAAGGTCTAATGTTGTAGATGAATTAAATTTAAAGGACTGAAAGAAATTTAAAAAATATAAGGACTAATTTTAAAACGCGTTAAAAGTATATAGACTAACAACTAATATTTTTTCAGTGTTTTTGTATCAAGTGATGTTCTTGATTGTTGTCATTCTCCATGATTATTTTCTTGGATTACTGGTTATGTTAATAATAATGTTAAAATTGGTTCTTCCTATTTAATTGCATTCATACTCAAACTTTCTAATTAATTATGGCCAGATAATGTGTGTACATGCTGCCATGTTGATTCAGACTTCAGAGGAATGACATACATATTGGCACTAACGTTAAAGCTTACATTGAATCCATAGTCAACAACTCAACACGAGTTAAAGGGTCTCATAGTTTGATGGGTTAATTAGTACTATATATTCAAGGATCACAATCTTTATTTAAAAACTTACAATTTGATTTCTATTTATGCACTGCTATAATAATTTTGGTATTTGACAATATTTCTCTAAACCAATCAAAATATGCGCGGAATATAGATTCAGTAATAAACAAATACTTATTAATTATTATTTTAATTTGTTGTAATATCAAGTTCGTTTGATCTCTTCACCACTTCACTTTACATTCTTATCATCTGATTTTGCTCAAAGTAGCTTATTATTTAAATTTTTTATTATAATTATAACTATAGTATTGCTTAATAAAGAGGCCAAATATGCACTTGATTTAATTAGCAAGGGAGTTGTATTAACTTAATCAAAGATCTCAAGTTTAGGTTTTAAAAATTGAACAGCGTTTGGTGGTAGAGCTTTTGTTAAAACAGATCCCAACCCAACTTGATCCAAATTAATTATGGCTTTAGTTCCGGACATTGGATGATTTACTTGAAAAAAAAAATGAGACACAAGAAAAGAAACATTTGTTACGATTCACACTCATGGTTAAAACCAAAATTTGAAAACAAAGCTTTGATTTCAGATAATTTACCAAAAAAATAAAAAAAGGATAAATAATAAAAAAGATGAGATATAAGGAAAGAAACACTTGTCATGATTTGTAGTCATCATTGAAATCAAATTTTGAAACGCCCAGCCTAATAGAAACAAGTGGCTATCTTGCATTTGTTGAAACCTTGATTTTTTAACACTATATAATTTACTAAAAAAATAAAAAAGATAAAGAATATGAGAGGCAGTGGAAGAAACACCTGTTATAATTTGTAATCGTCACTGAAATCAAACTTTGAAACCACGAGGTTAACAGATTGAACAAGGGACTGTTTAAATAGTGTGTCACGTGGATGCCATCACTTGGAGACACAAAGAGCCATTATTGGTTCCTCTTGCTTTTGTTTGCTTTCAACTTAGTCCTCCGTAATTTTCCGTCACACCTAACTTGAACATATTCGTGTAGCTTTTGTACGTCTTCACACCCTCCATGTGTTTTCGAGTGCCTCAACTATTGACAAGTGTGAGTTTAGTACCAACTAATTTTATATTGTTGCATAATTAAATATGGAGTATATAATAGAGATATATAGGTGACAAACAATTAAAATTTATATTAAATACATTCATTGGATCAACAAATGGTGTCAGACCACTACTGATGACAAATAATTCATTGGCTTCCATTCTTGTTTGTTTTAAAATACAAAGCCTCAAGTTCGAATTATATGTGGCTCAATCTAACTTGATCTAGATTAGTTGAAACTCACTCTATTTCTTCCTGTCATATTTAGAAGATAAAGAATTTTTTTTAATCTAATTTATAAAACATACATATTATTGACTTTTTATCATAATTTTTTTCCCTTTCACCTTATCAAATATTGATGAAAGAAATACTTTACTAATATATATATATATATATACTCCTTCCATTAAAAAATGTAAAGCATTTTTGAGAAGTTGAATGTTAAAAAATGTAAAATATTTTTAATTTTTTGAATGTAATCATTGCTTTTTTTTTAAATACCCCTATTGATAATGATTTTATATTTATTGTAGAGTGTTCAATAGGGGTAAATATGAAAAGATACTGTTAGTTAAAAAGTAAGTAATTACTTTATTGGGGTGAGATTCAATTAAAAATATCTTATATTTTTAAATAAAGAGAGTATATGATAGAAGTAAAGTTAGAAACTTATTACTCTCTTTTTTGTAAATTATGATACATTTTTAGATAAAATCATATATACTAATAAAATTTATTAAATATACTTTACAATTGTACTTTTTTAAGATAAAAATATAAATTTTTAAAAATACTCTTTATTTAATTAATACTCCATTGGTAAGATAATATTATAGAGAGACAATATATGGAAAGGATAACATTAAAAAAGAATCATTAATAAAACTTTATTTTTATCACAATATTTTACATTTTAGAATGTGAAATCTTTCACAAAAATATCTTATAATTTAAAATAGAGAAAGTACTATTTTGGACAAAGTTAATAGGTTTTAAATTTTTTTTAATTATAATAAAAATTTTAAAGATGATTTATAAATAAGATGAGATGAATCAACTTCTATTAGTATTATAATAAAGTGCAACTAATTATTTAATTTATTTTTTTAAAAAATAGAAATCATTTTTTATGATTTAAATTTCTTTACGTGCTTATCATCATCATCTTCTTTGAATCAAATCAAATCATGCGTGATTAAATAAACAAAGAAACATTATAATGTGAATGTTTACATTTTTTTAAGTAATTTGACCTCTCAATTCAGATAAATAAATACATTGTAGAAGTTTAGAAAACACTCACACGATTCTTTTTGTTTATTTCTCATTAATTTTTGTGCGCATTTTTAATATTAATTCTTCGAATTTCTTAAAAACCGAGAATGTTATATACATACATACATACATACATATATATATATATATATATATATTTCAAGTAAGTAACCGGCGAAGGAATGGAATATGACACGTGTAAAATCCAAGGACCATCACGTGGATTTTGCCATTTTAGTTGCATGTGTGGGCTGTTACCTTGAATCTGGACTGTGCTCCTCCCCACCCTAAACAAAACAAAAGCTTATCCAAATTAGATCTCTGTTCCCTTAGAATGCCCTCTCTCCTCCCCAAACTCCACTAGTGTTGTGTCACGATGTTGCCATCGAATTTAATTTTATTATTCTTTTCTAAAATTCTTAACTTCTTTTTACATATCTTAAACTCAAATTTGTTTTAAATACAACTCTTGATGTGGACTTCGTGTTTGAATTTGTCTATTTACTTGGGTAATATTGAAAAAAAGCATATTTAGTATTACAAGTCAAGTACGGGAAAAAGTGTAAAAAATGCCCATTTCATTATCTAATTTTATATAAAATTTTAATTTAATTCTTTAATTTTATGAAGTAATGTTTAATCCTTTAATTCTAAAATGTTAGTATCAAATGGTGAATTTTTGTTCTAATTATTATTTTAAAAATTAAACTTCATACATTAACATTGATAATATTTTATTAATATTTAAAAGCTAAATGTTAGCAATTTTTTTATTAATCAAATTAAAGGTGTTAGGATTAGATAATTGAAAAGGCCTCTCATAAAATTAAGAAATCAACGGAATTTTTATCATCCACCCATACAATTATAATCTATCATCACTAGGAAAATTGCTAGCAGCGATTAAAGCATAATTAACGAAATGAAGTACAAATATACAATGAATATATCTTCATAGATAATAAAAATGTTAAGAAGCTGCATTATTTAAAAGTCATGAACAATACTGCTTATTTTTAGACTTCTGTGCAATACAGAAACCCACAGTAGTTATTCAATACAAGTGTTCTGTAGACTGTTCCATGTTATAAGCATATTAAGTATTATCATTCTATTCTATACATGCCCGTTGAATTTACAGATTCTCCGATCTCGTACCAGCAAACCTTTTCTGCAATTAAACCTCAACTGCATATTCTGCTGTACAGATCAAAGCAAAAAAGGGACCAGAAATAACATTACAAGTTACAACCTTGTGGCTTGTCTACAACTATGAAGTAGAGCTACTTATAATGCCACAGGCAGGGAATAGACCCGGAGGATAATTAAGGCCTAACAAAACGGATTCTTTTGAATTTTTCTGGTTCTAGAGGCGAATTAAGCGGTGTGATTTGTCTGAGTTAAACAGAGAGGCAATAAAAACCTATTGCCTGTAAGTTGTGCAGTGTATGTGGTATTGTCATTTCACATTACATCTTTGCATAATGCATACCCTTCACAGCAAAGGACACCAAATCTGTTCCTGCGCTTACACAGGTTGGAAGCGTCGGACCGCCTCGTTCATGCCCTTTTTCCCCCCTCGAAGAGAAATCTAGGTCCTGTGATCAAACCAGATAGTTTGTCATTGAATGGTGCAAGAAGAATGCATCAAATATTGTTCGATTTGGAGGCAAGAATAACGCGGTTTTTTTTGCAGCTATATGGATGTTTCTTTCCTTTTATATAAGATGGTTAGAAGTTGTACACTCAGTAGCTTCTGGTTGGGCTCAAAGGGTCATAATCATAAGCTTCCCCAGCTTTGACAAACCGGCCCTTCACGCGCCTTCGGACATCGGCTCTTGCCTTGCGAGAGGCGTACCTCACTTTTTTGTCAAACCTAAAAGAAGAACCACAATTCACTTCAATCATCCAGCAAGTATGCAGCTTAAAAGTGGAAATTGTGAGGTGAGTTAAGCTAAAGAAATTTACAATAAGATAACAACTAGAAGGGGTCTTTACACACAACATAAACATACTAATGACTTATAGCCCTATCATGTAAGGAACAAATGTACTCCCTCTATAAGTCACCTTTAGTATTTTCACTAGAACCAAGGCAAAACTTAAACCTCATTAACTTTGTCTAAAAATTCAATTAAGTTTATAACTTCACCCATATTAAATATGCATACTTTAAAGATCAAACTCTAGCATTTAATAATAAGGGCAAAAGGTAAAGATGAAATGGGACCAGAGAAGTAGATGATTGCACAATAATTCGAGCAAGGAACACTGCTTGCCTTACCAGTGAACTTGATAAACATATCACAAGTGCTAGGACAGTTATAATTTTAGAGCTTATTTCTTTTCCCCTTTTCAAGGTCACACTACATGTTGATCCCCAAAGCGTCACTTAATGTTCAGTTTGATCTTTACAGTTTATGACCGGAACACCAACACCGCTGTACACGTTCACAGGAATATACTTACTTGCGTGTCTTCTTCTTTTCCTTATAACGCATGACAGCATTGCTACGGTTGGCAGATTGTATTGAATTCTCAGGACAAGGAGGACACCAGGGAGGCTCTCCCATGAGAAGCATTGAAGAAGCATCACAGTCTTGATAATCTCCGGCACTGCTCTCTCCCGTGACCCCAGAAAAAGAAAGATTTGATTGTGCTTGCCTCCCCGCAAAACAAATAATCGGCTCGGTTTTAGTGCTCACAATAGAATCTGCAGATGCTGCATTGCTGTATGCTGGTTGCACAGCATTGACCGGTCCAACCAATGAACCCTGGACACAATCTGACTATTAGTAATGAAAAAAAAAAAAATGTTGCACCATTTAACACAACCCACACAGCAATGTTATTTCCAGCATGAGGTCTTCATGACAAGTATGTGTCCAAAGTGTGAACACTGAGCAGTGAACAACAGAACATCTTATTGTACAAACTAATTTGCATGTTATTTAAAGGCAAAATAAATAAATATATAAAAGATAAATCTTTCAGTTAAGAAAAGAGATTAAAGGAAGGAAAATACACAAAAAAAATTCGGTGAACCCTGCTTAATTAATTAATTTATTTTCTTGCTTTTGGTTTCCTGGACAATCAGGATCAGCCCTTTAATTTTTTGCATTATCAGTGTGATCACATTTGCAAGTTGGTTTTTTTAACTAATTACATAGTGATTAACAATGTCTAGTAAGTCAGAAAGATAAGCATATCAGACCCAACCCCACACCTTATCAGTTACAAGTTCAGTTATCCAACAGCTAGATCTCAACTGTACACAAATAGTAGGAATCTTTTCAAATAGAGTTATAGCATGGCCCAACGATATCATCTATAGTATTCAATTTCATTGGAGTCTCCTACACGAAAAAGCCTAGATACAAGAATACAGATCACAAGATTTTGTACTGATCAGCTTTGAGATGTCGAGAGAACAGTAAAAGACAGAGAGAGATATAGCGGAGACAAAGAACTGAGGTAGGATATAGACAGAGAAAGGAGGAAAAATAAACTACATCAAAATCTCATATAAAATTCAACTCAGCTAAAAAAAAATCCAAAAACAAAACCACATGCCAATCCTTAAATAGGCAAACTCAACATCATGACTATTTATCCTAAATTACTTAAAAAGTAATTCTTAATTTGCCAAATAATAATCCAAAATCCTAACATTCCTGTTATTTCTCCATATCCCCTCACCACTATTAATTAAAGTTTCAAGGCTGCAAATAACCAGGCATATCACTGCTTAAATCTCCACGTAATATTTTTCTTTCATATTACACTATTGATTTTCAGAAGATAGAAAATGAAATACAGGTTTGAAATGCTCTCCAATAACTTCAATTATATTACATGCTTATCTATCTCAGATTCAGCAAAAGACCAAAATCACATTACATTGCTAAAACCTCAAATTTCAATAATAACAGATGAGGTGGAGAGTTAACTTGAATCAATTTGAGGACTATATGCAATTACCTTGAGAAGTCCCAACTGGAATTGATTATATGCCTATTTTTAATCATGAATGAAAACAAAAAATAATGCACACAAGTGGATACACTAGAACATTGTATGTAACGAATACTAATCCCATTAAGATTTTATATTTGAAGTTTCAATCTGCAAATCTAAATATGTGATCAATATCAAAAAGTAATGGGAATAAGGAATAGTTCCGGTTTCTCATATTATTTAAAGAAGTAGGATAGATCAGGTTAAATGGAAATCAACCGAAGAAGCTTCACTGAAAAACAAAACAAAAAAAAAAAGGTAGTCACAGACAAAGAGGAAAATAAAATACACTACCTCAGCAGCAGACACACCCTTTGTCCCAAACAAGCTATCAATTCCACCATTTTCAAAGAGTTCTTCAGAATGAGTGAGTGTCACACCAAAAAGTTCCTCATAGTTTTCAAGATCCAGATCCACTTCATCCATGTCAAAATCACCATACAGGTCATCATCTTCATTTTCATATGGCACAGGACCTTTCGTACTTGGACAGCTTAACTACATATAAACTACAAAAGGTTAGTTAAGTGCAAAAATGAAACTACAAGAATTTTTGCTTAACAAACTATGAAACACGTAACTCATTTCAGTCAACCATAGAAGTAATTGGCAATAATTGAAAGCCATATTAAATAAGGTGCAATTATAATGTTCATAAGCTACACGGGTAAAAATAGAAATATATCTTCCACAAAGAAATCAATCATATGTCATCCATTGTCATTGAAATTCATGAGTCAAAATTTGGGAAACAGTTTGCATTCATGGAAGGAGAACATCCTGCAGCCCTAAAATGGATCACACAATTTTACTTAGCAAGACTTGATATGCTGCTGCACTACTGCAGTACAACAACAACAACAAGCCTTATTCTATTACGTGAGATCAGCTGCTATACTATTGTAGTAGCATGAACAAATTCATCTCAAAAGCAGCCAGTCAAATTAACTTGCACTCACCGTCAATCCTACCCGGAAAAAAGACAATATGACATTAGCTCATATGTACGAGCAATATTTTGTGATATCCTTTCTTGTCAAGATGGTCCTTAAGCAGTTTGCTAGTCCAACAAAAATGGCTACTCTCATGATTTAAAGAGGTTATTATTTGATCAAATATTCTTAATTCAGTTCAAATCGCTAATATAATGGGAGAGCCAAAAAAATTTGTCAATTCCGTAAATGTCTTTGATCATGAAAGAATTAGTTGGCAGAGATAACCAAAGCAAAGCAATGTATAATACTGCAATGTTCATTTAGAAAATGAAACCACTGTGATACTGAACCTTGAAATTCAACAAAGGCGTTGACATTTGCTCGAATAGGATTGTGAAAGAGGAATCTACTTAGAAAAATCATTACCCAACAGTTTTAGCACTCTGTTACCTTTATGCAGGAACAAAAAACTCAAACCTCAAACAAAAGGACAAAGAACTGATTTTCCTGAAGGTTCATGAACAAAACTGCTGGCTATGATGCTCATGCTTAAATTGATAATATGGTCTTGGGTTAAATAATACCTTGGGCAAACATTCATTGGTAGGTCCATTTGATGGATCAAGAATATGAGGTTCTGAGCTTGACTCAGGCATTGCAGAGGCCCCAACCCAAGACTTATCAAAGGTGTGCAAATCAGTTGCTTGAGCTGAACCAGATGCATTCTGGCTTTCTGGAGGAACGCGAGCACTTTTGTTGCTGTTCTCATTAATGGTCATCAAACCTAGTTCCTGCTCGCAGGTAGTTTCACGCATAGACGGGATATCCAAGACAAATGACCATATTGAAGAAAATTCTTCTGCTGAAGGACAGCCAGAGTAGCAATTGACTGTTTGCCTTTTATGTGTTGAAGAAGATGTAGTGGGACCATGACCTAACCAATCACAGTTCTGACATAGTGTGATCCTCTCTTCAGAACACCTTACAAGAGCAGGTTGTGAATTACATCTCTCACATAAAAGGTTTCTTGAATGACGCTTTGAAAGAGCATTAGCAGAATGAACATTCCGATCACATGACAAACATAAACATGCAGCATCAGAACGGCAGTACACCATGGACCTCTGATCTCCGCAAAAGTCACATATATAACCCATCTTTAAGCTGACTCTTTGGTTGCTATCTAAAGAAAGAATTCTTCCGTTAGTAAACCTCTATCCAACAGCAATATCTGCTGACCAAACAGAATTGCCTATGTTTTCTAAGTTGATGAAGCAGAATTGTATTGTCCCTTACAACTCAAAAGCAGTCAGACAATATGCCAAAAATTTGATGCTCCAAATTCTACCGCTGCCAAGAAAAAATTTAGTTAGCACTATAAATAAAATAGAAATGTGCGTGTGTGTGAGATTTCAACCTTGACGTCTTAAACATAGGAACAATGTCATGGTCAGACATGTGGAATGGGTTCAAACATGAAAAATTGCAGATAATGCCCCAAAAAAACGGAAAAGGATAAAAAATAGAGAACGAAAAGTATTTGTGTTTGTGTGTATAAAAATATCAGAATAATTTTTTAAAAAGTAAGGGACTTGAAAAGAAATCTATAAAAACTATTTCCTCAGAACCTGTTAATGGAAAGACAGAATGATACTTTCTAGACAATCAATTGTAAATCATAGTTAAGAAAATAATTGCTTATATCAATGATTCCTTTGAAGAGCTTCCACAGATAATACGACTTCAGATTTAGAAAGGGGGGAGGGACATTTCACACTTCAATGCAATTTTAGCTGAATTATCATTTTAAAGCAAAGGAATAAAACGCCTTTCAGCTCAAAATCAGACATTCCCATCATCATAAGGACTTCAAGAAGAAATTTCACTATACTAAAAAATTCAACTTGATCTCTCAAGTCAGCTTCCCAAACATCAGCTGGGGGATCAGTTGCAAGAAGCAGATCATTCTAAAGGACCAGAAAATTAGAAGCATCTCTAACACGCCATGACACACCACCAAATCTAATCCAATAAGCAGAGAAATCGTAAATTCTTACCCCATCCACTCCTCTCAAAAAACCCAGAAAAGAACAAACAACAGTGACCAAGAATACACAGAAGAGAAAGCTAGAAGCAAAAAGGTGGAGAACAGAGAGAGAGAGAGAGAGAGATAGAATTTACCTCCCGGCAAGAAAGGCTGAGAGAAGACAAGATCGGTAAAGGATACTTCTTTTTCAGAAATATAATATATAAAATACTGGCAGAAGTAAAAAGGCAAAGAAACAGGAACCCTAGAAGTAGAAGCAGGACTTTTTGGACAAAACACACCGCTGATTCTCTCTCTCTCTCTCCCCCCTCTCTGCTCTGTTCAGATAGATATGAATTAATTGGAGGAGGATGTGTAGATTAGATTATGGGGAAGTGGCAAGTGGGTGTGCCGGTGTGTGAGATGTGAGAATAATGGAATGGGGTTTTTGTGATGATGTGTATGTTTGTAATTGTATATCCTTAACGTGACGGAAGCAAAGCTGATAAAAAGTGCATGGCAGAGTTTTAAAAAATATGTATAATGCAGGTGGGGCCAAGTCTTTTTCTCAGTGAAAGGGAAAAGGTTAGGCCTTTCCTTTTTATCGGTCCCTCACTCACATGAGAAAGAGAAGAAAAAAGTGGTCTTGTGTGATACTGCCCGGAGCTCAGCCTACAGACGCAGTCCCACATTCATATTGATTCATACGACTTTCTACGCGCTCTCCAAATCTGTGTCCATTTGATTGTTGAATAATGTTGATGTTGTTTCTTTATTGTTAAAAAATAAATTATTAATCGTCCCACTATGATTGCACTTTGCCCAAAAAGTGCATCGTCTCTGGGTGAGCTGGACAATTTGAGATTTCTTTTTATTTCTTTTTTCTTTCAGATTGGCTTTCCACGCTATGGCGGCAAACCTTGCGCCCGCTCTGTTTATTCTATGGGTGCTTGGTTTGGTGTGGTTTGGGAAAATATTATATAAAGATTCAAACTTCATAAAACTGACACTTGTGAATTACCGAAAAGTTTTTTTTTAAGATTATAACGATAATTAATTATCGTTGGCCATAAACAGTAAATTATTGTATTGATTTTTTTAAAGATATAATGAAACTTTTTAGATCGTTGAACTTGTCTTACATATCAATTTGATTTTTTTTGTTTAAAAAGAAAATAAAACTATTAAAATCCACTCATATAGATAACATGATATTAATATAACTATGTAGATTAATGAAAAAAAGTACAATTATTTAGATAGGAAAAAAAACATACTTGAAAACTTTTAAAAACAAAACAAAACAGAAGGATTAAATTAATTTGATGTTATTTTATTTTCATCTAGTTACACAAATATATCAAGTCATAAATATACTTTATACATTAGATTATTTTGAGAGTGAATTTATATTTTAAAACTTAAAGAAACTATCTAATGACTTAATAAAACATAAAAGACAGAATCAATAAAAATTAAATTTAAAGGAGTACCTTAATAATTGAGACAAATTAAAAAGATTAAAAGTTTCACTTTCTTTTTTTAAACTTATCATTTAGTTTCATATCTTGACAATATTTCAAATTTATTATTATTTCTGATTGAAAAATTATCTTTAACTATAATTTAAAAAAGAAAAATAGTTATTTGAAAAACTATCAGCATTGATTAATTTTTATCAATGCTTTAAAAATTGAACTCGATATTAAACCAAAAGGTCAATGGTTCTTGGTTTTATGGTCTAATTAAGTACACTAGTAACCAAATCGATAACATAATAATTAAACAAAATTAACATAAATGCATTTATAAAACATATGCATAAGAAATAAATCCATGGGATATTTAACTGTTAATAAAATAACACAATATAACTATAAATTGACAATATTATAGATTATAATTTTATAAATTTTTAGATATAGATGGATTTTAATTAAATCAAGTGTGAATAAGTTAAAAAAAAAAAGATGTATTTGTACTCATAAATGTCAATATCTTCTAAAAGAATGATTACAAATCATTCAATGTACATGTAAAGGGTCTAATGATGAAGTTGATTTTTAATAGGATCCATTTTTTGAATTTTTATATTTTAAAAAATTAAGCCATTTTTTATGTCATGTTTAGAATCAGCTAGTTTTTTAAAAATTGTTTCAGTTTTTGATTTAACTCTAAGTTTCATTTCAATAACGGCTTAATTTCAGTTTAGCTTGATAATGGAAACAATTTTTTTGTTCACACCAAGTTGTTGTTAGTTCTAATCAACGATTCAATCGGCCTGACCATCTAATTTGAGTTTTTAAACAAAGTTTTTCTGATAATTTTGGTTCTTTGGGCTAATTCTTAACTAATACTTTTCTAAGGCTTATAAATTCTATCTAAACATTGCCCTTCCAGTTAACAAGTAAATAATTCTATACAATTAAAAATTAAAAAAAAAAGGTAAATACAAAACGTGAGTTAGCACGAAACATTTAATTTAATATATTAGCGATGCACTGACATCTGTCCCCTCTTGCAATTACTCCTATCACTGCCTATCTACTGTTTATGCGATTTTGACTCCTCCGAATAAATGAATTTTGACGTAAATTTTTAATCTGATTTATGATATCCAACTGTCCAACTATCTCCTCTCAGCTGGCCCCACAAAAAAAAAAAAAATCTAAACCTTTGCTTATTTATCCATATTAATATAAAAGACAGAAATTACAACAAATAATATTATTCTTTTTTTGGTCGAGAACAAATAATATATCATAAAAAATAATAAATATTATGATTTTTCTAACTTTATATAATATTAAAAATTCTGATCCTAATGAAAGGACTATAATCTCTTTATATATATATATATATATTATAAAAATATAACTTTTCTCAAACTTGATATAGTTTTTTATTAAAGTGAAAATGATGTTAGTGATATATAAAGTGTGAGAATCTTTTTATCAAGATACTAGCATTATTTTTTATTTGAAAATAAAGAGAATCATAAAAATACAACTTTTCTCAAACTTGACAGTAAAAATGTTGTGAGTGATATGTAAAGTGTAAGAATTTTATTATCAAGATACGAGCACTATTTTTTATTTAAAAAATAAAGAGAATCATAAAAATACAACTTTTTCTCAAATTTGATATAGTTTTTCATTAAAGTGAAAATGGCAATAGTGATATATAAATTGTAGAAATTTTATTCACTCCATCTTAAATTATAAAATATTTTTAAATAAAATTTTATATACCAATAAAATTTATTAAATATATTTTATAATTTTACTTTTTTAAGATATAAGTATAAAACATTTAAAAATATCCTTCATTTAATATTTTATTGATAAAAAATTATTAAAAAAAGAGAATATATGATGCAAATAATATTAAAAAATATCATTAATAAATTTTTTTATCAAAATATTTCATATTTTAATATGTTAAATTTTTTTAAAATATTTTATAATTTAAAATGAAAGAAATATTATTTAAATATTATTATACTATTTTGTATTTAAAAATAAAGGGAGTCAATAGGATGGCCCACGGGGGCCATTCTTCATTAATCATCGGAGACTGCCTTTTGGCCCGAAGCTTTAATTTCATATACTTAACCACTTGACAGCTCATCTTTTTCTTTTCTTTTTTTTTTTCGTATTTTTAGTCAACAACAATTTACATGCTTATCAAAGATAATGATTGCGAATAAAAGGAACATTATAATATTCCCGTAAATTCCATATTCTCTTTTGTTGTATGTTCATATTTTTTAAGAAAAAACGTAGTTTTTAATTTATACATCTTATTCATGTTTTGTTATAATTTTTTATATTTGTTTTTAATATTTTAAATTCTTATATTTTTTATGTTTTTAGTAATTTAAGTCTTTAAAACACCAAAAAAAAAAATACATGATCTGTAACAAAACATGAAGAAACATCACAGGAATCAAAAGTTATATATTTTTTAAATAAAAGGCCAACTTCATTACTTAATAATAAGTGATATTTATTTTTAATTAATTGAAAATTTAGATATTTATTTTCTTACATGAGATTGGAAAGGCAAATATCCAGGTCCCAAAAAAAAAAACAGGACAAAAAAAAAAGGCAAATATGAGAGCATGCATCTACTTAAGTGACGGGCGCTATCAGAGAATAAGATAAGGCTATGGGCGTAAATAGAATAAGAAACGAAGGGCATTTCGGTGAAAGCAGAAAAAGGTATGGACTTTTAGGCTGATGGGGTTAAAGAGATGTTCCCTTTTGTGTGGAGGATAGATAGATTGGATCTTTCAGGTCTTTTCCTTGCTTCATCGTTACGGCGCCCAGATCTTAAGACTCAAAATATCTTCTCTCAAATCTCAAATAACTGGGGTGGGCAGCCAATCCAATGATCTGGTAGGGCCAATCTTACCCAATCTCTTGAATTGATCTATGTAACAGCATTAGGCTCGATGCGGGTTTAATCTCCTGGTCTTGCTGGATCCAGTACATGTATATATTATATATTATTATAAATTTTTATTATTGTTGATTGATTTTATGATTTTTTTCCTCTTTTAAATCATACTTAATAAATTACTTTGTTGTTATTATTATGAAAATTTTTAAGAAGTCAATATATTATTTTTATTTATATTTTTAATTTGATTTCCTAACTTAATATTATGTAAATACAATGAATGTTATCTAGTTTTTAAAAATTAAAAAATATTACTTTTAATTAAAATATTATTTTTCAACCTAATGGTTTAGATAGACAAAATTTAATATATAAAATTTATTTATTATTTTATTTTTTTAATACAAGACCAACAGTCTTTTTATACTAAATTGGCTTGCTCGGTCTTTGTCTCAATGTCTCAATGCATGAGGACTAGGTATTGGATTGATAATTAGCTAGGTTTTACCCAATATTTGCACACTCATACAAATAACCCAATCTATCATGTGTAACTAAAAGCAAAAACTGATGTACTCAATTTGATATATTTAAAATAAAATTTTTAATTAAATCAAAATATGTGTATTATTTATATTTATTTTATAATAAATGTTTGATATTAATATGATTAATACATTAAAATTCATTTATTTTAATTTGATTGAATATAAATATATTAAATATAAAAAGTTAAGTATATAAGTCTCGTCACACATCTCCCTCAAATGTAAGATTAAAGAATTGGACCCTCTAATTTAGTTGATTTAATTAAATTTAAAATTTCAAGATGTGTGAAATGCGAATCTAGATCAACTTAGCATATCTTCCGGGATAAGGGCCCCTTGGCTTAGTGACACTAGCATGCGGATTCGCTTTCACAGTTCCGTCGGGCGCTGCGCCGCCACCCAAAACAAAATATATATGTATATATATAATATATATATGTGCGCGCGCGCGCAAAAATCTTGCATCTAATTCTAGTGGGTTTTT